AAAGTCATGTCAATCAAGAATCCTATATCTGGCAAAATATTCTTCAAAAATGAAGGAGAAATTAAGACATCCTGAATAAACAAAAACTGAGGAAACCTGTTGTTCGTAGACCTGCCCTACGAGAGTTGCTAAAGAAAGTCCTTCAAGCTGAGCTGAAAGGATACTGGACAGTAACTCAAATTCGCATGAAGAAATCAAGAACGCTCATAAAGGTTATTACATAGGTAAATATAAAAGTCAGTATTAATGTATATTTTTGTTTATAACTCCTCTATTTTTTTCTGTATGATTTAAAAGACAACTACACCAAACAATAATTATAACTATGTTGATAGTCATAAAATGCATAAAGATGTGATTTGTAACAATAACAACAAAAGAGCAGATGATGGAGCTATATAGGAACAAAGTTCTTGCACACTATTGAAACTTGGTGTTAATTCAGACTAGATTGTTATAAATTAAGATGTTAATTGTAATCCCGGTAAAACAACCAAGAAAATAACTAAAAAACAGTAAAAGAAATGAGAAGGGAATCAAAATGGTACATTTGAAATCATCTATAACACAAAATATAGTAGTAATAGAATTGAGGAGCAATTCATATTACTTTAGTAATCAATATTATCAGTAGTTACTTCAAATGCAAATGTAATAAACTCTCCAATTAAAAGGCAGAGATTGACACATGTTACAAGAGACAAATAAGAAAATTAAGACACATGTTACAAGAGACAAAGAAGAAAACATTACATTCTGGTAAAATGGTCAGTCTATCAAGATATAGCAATTAAAAACATTTATCCACATAACAACAAAGCCCCAGAGAGTTGGAAACAAAAATTGATAGAATTGAAGAGAGGGATAGTTTAAAAATAACAATTGGAGACTTTAACATCCCACTTTCTCTATTGAATAGAACGATTAGACAAAAGATAAACAATGAAACAGAATACTTGAACAACACTGTAAACCAACTGGACCTAACAGACATGTGTAGAACACTCCACCCAACAACAGAATAAAAATTCTTCTCAAGTGCACATGGAAAATTCTCCATATAGACCATAAAACAATCTAAATAATTTTTTTTTTTTTTTGAGACCGGCCGCACTGTGCTCAGCCACTGAGCTGGTGACTGGCCATCCCCATATAGGATCTGAACCCGCGGTGGGAGCGCTGCTGCGCTCCCAGTGCCGCACTCTCCCGAGTGCGCCACGGGCTCGGCCCTAAATTATTTTTTTTTTAAGTTTGACCACAATGAAATGAAATTAGAAATCAACAATGGATGGAAATCTGGAAAATTTACAAATCTGTAAGAATTAAGCAACACACTCTTTAAGAAAAACCAGTAGGCCAAAGAAGAAATCACAAGAGAAGCCAGGAAATACTTCGAGATTAATGAAAATAAAATCATAACATACCAAAACTTATGGGATACAGTGCAAGCAGTGACCAGGGGAAATTTATAGCTATAAATGCCTACATTAAAAAAGAAAAAAGACCGAAATCAGTAACTAACCTTATACTTTAATGAATTAGAAAATAAACAGAAAACTAAACCCTCAGCAACCAGAAGGAAAGAAATAATAAAGGTTAGAGTGTAGATAAATAGAGAATGCAAAAGCAATAGAATCAATGAAACAAACAAACAAAATGGTTCTTTGAAAATATCAACAAAATTGACAAACCTTTAGA